TGCTTGAGTGAATGTCTGGATTTAATCTCTTAAAATAGAACCCTTGTGGAGCTTGTGAGAGTCTTACTCTAGGTTTTAGAGAACAAGGGTTTTATTTTCTGAGTTTATTTCTTTGAGAAATTAGTTATGGCTTCTTTGGAAAAAAGGATGTTATGATACAAATTTTGTTAACATGAAAAATGTTTATCAGCTGGCGGCAGTAGCCCGAAGGCACTGACGAGTAAGAGCTTGAACATTGTGATTTCTGCTAAAGCCGGGGGGTGGGGGAACTTCATGAATGCATTGCTTCTACAGCGTTTTTCACAAATGTGTGAGTTTGTGGGAAACAGCTCGTTGGTAATGTGCTGTCCCTGAAGAAAACTGAGAGAGAGCAGCTGGGACTTTCTAGTGGGGGCTGGCTGGCATGCGATGTCCAGCTGTTGGCGCTGTGACCGAACAAAGAGCAGAGTCGTAGCTGTCTATAAAGAATCAGAGTTACCAGGTAGATGGAGGAGTATGAGCTTGTTTCTTGCTGCTTTCCTCTGGGCCTGCTGTCAGTTAGAATACTGAATGAATGTCTCTGCTAGAAAAGCAGGGTTAGACAGACTTAGTTTCTGGAGAAGAAGAAAATAATCTGTAAGGAGTAATATGCTTAGTTGTGTTTTTTACTAAGTTGCTCCAAGTGAAAAAATTACAGAAATCTAATAACAATTATGATATTAATCTGAATTTTAACATATATTTACATTTTAGGGATAAAACTGAAGAATTAATGGAATTAACAGATGAGCAGAGAAATGAACTGATGAAAAAAGAAAGCAGCAGACTCCAGAAAACTGGACACCGGGTAACATACTCTCCTCGTAAAGAAAAAGCACTAAAAATTTATCTGGACGGAGCACCAAGTAAAGATTTGACTCAAGACTGATACTCACTATAGCATTTTCCGTGGGGAATTTTTTTGTTTAAAATAAAAAGGTTCACTACTACTGTGTAGTGCCATTACGGCAGGACACTCGTTAGGTGTAAAGCGCTGACACCAGCACTGGCGGGGCTGTGTTCCCAGCCAGAAGCGCAGTGCCCCGGTGGGTCACTGTTTGACTTGGAATCATGTTGTGCACTATAGTCAAATGTACTGTAAAGCTAAAAGGGATGTGCAAATAAAAGATTAGAACTCAAAAGTGGGCGGGGAGGGAAAAGAGTGGAAATTTTTGAGGACAGTGTGCACATAGTAGCTAGTCAAACTAGCCTCAAACAGGATACTCATAGCTTAATAATAAAAGCTGTGCAAAGGCCATGAAAGAATCCTTTTTTCTCTTTGTTTCACTGATACACGCATTACCTCATCAGAGAGTCTGAAGTAAATGTTAACACATTGGTTCTAGGAAAGCAGCAGCAAAGGGTCAAAGATGAAATGGAAGTGCTGCAAGCGTCAGGTTTTAGAATATTCTTCCATAAAACAGGTAGTCTGAGAGGTGTCTGCAGAAAGCTGCCAGCAGGTGTTGGTTCATTTTGCAGAAGCGCTGTTGTAAGGTAAACTGGTTAATAGGTTACGGAAGCCGATGAGCAGCTCTATTATATTGCGTTCAATGTGTAAATAAAATTTGCCCTATCCATTTAACAGAACTGCAGTTCCGCTATTTACCATGGTATTTCTTTTCACATATCAACATTCATTGTGTACATTTGGAAGTATAGTTGCCTATTTAAATATGTATTCATTTTATGTTTGATGATGCTGGGTACTTTAGGGTTGTATTTCCTCTTGTTAATGAAGTTTTTGTTTTGTTCGGCTACTTTTTGTACATTTTGTTTTTGAGACAATTACAAGTTTGCATTTTCTCCACCCACTGAAAGTCATTTTGTTTTTCCCAGAGTTGATTCCGTAGCTATATGTAGTCAAATATTGGGGGAACCTCTAACACCTCAACGTACAAACATGTTAGTTCAGGTTGTGGTGCAAAGACTGATGCAGTCAACATGATTTCATTGCAAAGCCTAGGAACAGCCATTTTTTGCTTTGGTCCATAAAGATCAATAGAGAGCAATTCTCCATAGTTTTTGGAAAAACCACCTAATTTATAACAATCAAAAGATTTTTGGTAAACTTTTTCATGCCAGATGCTGTTTACAACAATGAACATGCCAATAAAACATTTGTTCATTCTGTTGTGTTATTTTAATCATTAAATGCTGTGATTTTTATTTGAAAAACTTATTTCACGTAAATACAGGTTTCTCCAAGGCAATGTCAGAACTGTAAAGCTGTGTGTCAGTATGTGTGTATATGCACACCCCCGCCATGCCTGTACACAGTATTACAGGAGGTGTTTTATAGCCTGACTGCTGCTCCTCTTTACTTATTATCACACCGATTTGTCTTCAACTGCAAGTTTCCTTTTCCAGAATTGAATTCGTCACCAGTGAAATTTCTAAGCTCCAGATGTGACTGGCAGCCAAGTTCTGCTCCAGAGATGAACAAGTCTGAATAACTGAACATTCAGTTCTTCTTGCATGCTAACCCACAGCAACCTAAAAACCCTGAGGAATCTGGCAGCTTGAGAACCAGGCACTGCGCAGAGGAATTCCCTCGTTCTTCCTCTTCTGTTTGGCCTGTGCCACCTCTTGTCCAACACAGATGAGGTAGAAGCAGGAGCAAAGGAAGCATAGAGCACGTACCACCATTTAATATGTATGTAGACTGATGGAGGATCCTCGGAGGTTTTGGAAGAGAGGAAAAAATTAACTATAAAATGGGTCATGAATTTTCTTCAAACTCGGACATTTGGAGACGCAAAAATGTAGAGATGGAATAAACTAGGGTTAAGAAAAGAATTCCAAGAAGTGCTTGCTTGATCTCTAGGCCTATTTGGGAAACTTCCGTTGAGAACTTCTTAGAAGTAAGTAATTTTAAACCTGTAAGTCTTGACAGAAATCTGGCTAGAGGACTGAGGGGCATCCTTATAATGATTTCCTGTCCAGTGGTGCACTTCCTTCTGCACAAGTGTGGAATGTATTCTGGGTCGTTCTGGGAGACATCTTTCAGCATTTGCTTTACGTTCTGATAATGTCAAACATCTTTGAGTTTCGCCATGGGCATTTTAAAGAAACAAAAAGCCTTGAGTTTCTAATTTGCTAGTTCAGCAGAAATCTTGCTGAACTTCTGATGAATCCTGACACTATCTTTGAGGGATTGAGGCATCAAGAAAAACCTGAAGGGAGAATAATGGTATCCTTAAGCAGGGCAGTATATACGGACAATTATTGCTCTCGTGAAGTATTTTAACTGGAACATTGCAATGATATTTAATTCCTTCTCTTTGTCTAGGTGGGCTGTCTCTAAAGCACAGTAATGTTATCAGAGATAGAAAGGAAAGGCAAATTCAGTGAACTCTCGTAGAGCGTGTGTGTGTGTGCGTGTGTTGCTGTGAGAATTGGTGGTAGAAATGAATCCATAAACTAAACGTCAGACTGTTCTGATGAAATATCTTTCCTGTTCATAATGATAATGGTTATTAATGTTAATTCTGGTACCCAAGGAATTTGGTGAAAAGCTTTCATAGAGCAGAAGTGGTGAAAGACTTGCAGGCTAGTAGCAAAGTCGTGTAGCTACCCTTGTTACTCGTGCTCTACTGTTCCAAATTAGACATAAGCAGTAGGGATTATCTGGGAAGAAGCTCCACCAAAAGTTACTTGGCTGGAACCTCATGTCATCTTTTACCATGTGCAATAACAGATGGTGAAATCTATACACCAAAAAAACATTAGTGTTGGAAGAGCCATTGTAGCAGGCTGTTTGTTGAGACAGCTGGGAGGAGGGGAGTTTGATGGATCCGATTTTAGTCCTGGCTTGCTACTGATTTCTTAAATCAATGGCCTGTTAAGATGGTAATGATAATCACATTGTGTAACACACAGATCTGTGCCTATGAAGTGTATTAAAAGCACAAGCCATTTCTCAAAGATTTTTCTCTGGATGTAATGGAATCAAGTAGGAGAAGCACAAGTCTCTAAATGCAAGAAGCTATTTAGGTTGTCTTACTGCTAAACTGAAGTAATAAATTTATGTTCACTGCCTCTGTCTCTCAAAAAGGGTAGGTGATGGTGGAATATAGTCAACGGATCCTTTAACCGACATTAGCCAAGAAGGAGTGTGCATGTAGTGCAGAACGCTGCCGTGTATTTAGCTCTGGCTTAGACACAGCCTTGTAACTGCAGCTGCGCTGTTCTCCTCCTGTGTGTTGATACTTTACATACTCGGTGTACGACAGAGAATCTGTATTCTTTGTATTCAGCCCATTTAGCTGTTTGTTTGAAATAGTATATTTTGCCCTTGAGAGACAGAGCCCTGAACAGTCAAGTTGAAAGTTCCTATATAGAAACCAAAGTTATATGGATATAAGGACATACCGACTATTTGTTATTTATATGGAAAATGTTGTAGGCTTTTTTTTTAATAGTATGCCCCTGTGCATTGGGGGAGGCCAAGGACCATTATATATGAAAGTGTAAAATGCCAGGGATCCTCTAGCAATGGAACACCTGTTCTTAAGTTACCCTGAAGGCTGCTGCAGGACAGACGGCATCCACTGTACACAGCTGAAAAGCAGCTCTGGGATGTTCCTCTAAAAGGGTAAGCACCCTTCAGCTTTTCCATCCTTCCACAGCGTGGTGGAACGGGTGACAGGACATGACACCCAGAATCTGTATGTTGCAGCTTTACTGATTATATTTTCTAAAGAAAAAATAAAAAATTGCCTAAAATCAATTACTAAACCAGTCCAAAGTAGATGGTCTAGGAAAAAAACCAAAACAAACCAATTCTAAACATATGTACTCGAAAGTCACTTCTACAGTCACTAATAACTTAAGATTATTTATGCTTACGTGTATTTTTTAATGAGTACAAGTAGTGATAAGTTTATTTCTAATGTACAGGAGAAAAGTACTAATCCAGAGGAAACACCGCTGTATTTCTCATTTGTCTTTGACAGAAGGTTTGGTCAACGATTGAATTCAATGACAATTTGCACATGCAGGTTTGGTGCCCAGAAAAGGATGCTCACTGAAGACCTTTTTATTGCACTTCTATCCAGCAGTATGTGGTTGGGATTTATATAAGCAAGACACTAGACAAAAATTTCTAGAAATAACTAACTAAACTGTCTGGTGTTTGGACTTTAAATTTCATCTCCCAAAACCAGGTCATGAGCTGAGTCAGGCTCAGGCTTCAAACCTGCTTGGTCCTCCAGACTTTCTAATTCTTTACGCACTTCCTGAATGACGCTGCTTTCTTCGTAATCAGAAAGAATATCTCTGGGTAGCAAGCTGAGAAATGGCATCTCATCCATGATTAAAGGATCTTCTTTTTCATTATTCCTGGTTTCATTGGCGGACAGTTCACACACAGATGTAGCGCTGTGGCTGTTGGAAAAAGAGACATCTGGTCATACAGTACATCTTGTCATGTTCTTTTGCAAGTTCCTTAATTAAATTCTTCCTTTCCTCCCCACATGAAAGCATGTTAAATGCATCATACTGACAGATCTACCATAGCTGACTTCATTTTTACATGCTTGACCGCTGGAGAGTTAAAGGTGAGATTTCTACATACAGAGCTAGAACAAAGATCCTAATAGCAAAAAATGTGTGATCCTGGGACCCAAGGTAGGTAGTACAGGAACAGGCCTGTTCATACTTACTGCATGTATTAAAATGTCTTTAATGTCTGATGTATGAAAGCAGGCAAAATGTCTGACAGAAGCCCAAACTAACACAGAAAGTTGGACGAGAGCTGTATGTAGAGAATTAAGGTGGAGTGATACATCTCAACAGCGGTTAGTACTTTGATTAAAAAGCAGGACCACCCTGATACACAAACTTAATTCACACCGGATGAAGGTGTTGCCAGACTCAGGCACATCTGTGTGGGACAAAGCAGTAAGCTTGAGAATGCTTGAATGCTACTGATGAGACAAGCTGTCAAGACACTTCTAGTGTGGAAGAATCTGTAAGCTCTGTTTCTATTTACCCCAGAAAGAGACCTCTCCAAAATTTCAAGCAGCCTGCTTGCCCAGTTTTGATCTTTACCTCTGAGGTTGGCAGATCAAGCCACCTGCACATGGGCATCGCTCAAGCACGCCATCGGGTTCCAGTTCCCAGGTGATGAGGTTGAGAAGTCTGTTTGAAGGATCATGGCAGGGTTCACCTTCTTCAGGTAAGGGCGTGCACACAGGAAACAGTAGTTCTGCATGCCAGAGGAAATCACTTTTGTGAGAAGTCATTAACTGTCTGCTAAACTGAGATGACCTCATCTTTAAGTCTACATGCAAGATATAAAAAGACAGACTTGACCTCTTTTTAAGTCTCCTTATGAATTAGGGAGCCATAACTTAATGTTCTTTCCACTAGGTGGGAGTAAGACATTTGAAGCTTACGCTTTAATGAGCAAGATCAACTCCTGCTTCTTCATGAAGAGACTGCTCTCAATACAGCAGTACTGCACAACTCCATCCCTTGGAGGCTTGAAAGACTGTTCCAAACCCAGGAAAACTAACATGCATAGCATTAGTGGTTTAAAATCTGACTAGAGAAATGTTATAGAACTATGTTATTTTTCCTATTTCTTGTATTTCTTTGCAGAGGTTACAAATACAGAGCAATTGTTAGAGACTAAATAAGGTTACAAGAACTACTACTCAGCCATTTAATTTGTTGTAGTAATTCTGTAATAGGCAAAGCTGATGGCATTTTGGGCTTAGCACCCTTGTTTCTGCACAGGGGTGAAATTCAACCTCTGTAAGAAATTATTTGGAAGGATACATCATTAGGGTTTCCTGATGCTAGTAACTTATAGTGTCAATTCAGCACTTCCTGTCAAACCTCCCTTCCTCCTCTTGTCTTCACTCACCACATTTTTTGTGGTGTGTCAGAATAAAATATGTGGAGAGGTCAGAATTTAAGTTTTAAGGCTTGGTCAAAAAATGTGTGTATATATAGACACATACATCTATGCTTAATGTATATGACTTATCAGTTCTTAATTCTAAATAAAATTATCTCTTAAGCAGCATGTATAAAGAACATACATGTAAAGACAGTCCAATCTGCCCTGACCAGGCAGAACTTAGGACTCATTTCAGGCCTGATACCACCTTCTCCTCCTCTCCTCCCTTCTGTAAATCAAGTTTCAGATTCCCATGTTGATGGACAGCATAATCCGGAACATCATTCCTTTATGTATCTTGGCTGTTCGGTCAGTATTGCATAGCGTAGTGCCCTGGAAGGCTCCTATAAAACTCAGAGTATGAAGTGTGGCTGCAGTCTGATTCTGAGGGTCCGCTTGCTGATATGAAGGAAAAGCCACTCTCAGTAATCTCATGAATTTACTTTGTACGTTTTACATCCTTATTTTGCTCTGTTGGGTGAAAATTTGACACAGGGCTCTGCTACTTTTAAATGGCTGAGACTCTCCTTTAGAAACAGCAGATTTTTGTGCTTCTCATGCTGCTCTCAGCTCTAGCGTGCAATAGGCTTTTCTTTCACCATCGTGCACCCCACCAGACTGTCTCACTCCTAGTAAAATTTTATAATGATGTTACCACGGTGCACTCCACAGGCCCAGGGAGACTGACCTGTTGATTCGGTAGAGATTTAACCGCTTCACCTGGGCGAAAGAGCTGAATATTAGCACTCCAGTATTATAAAAAGGATAGGATAAAAAGGAAAAGCTCTGTACCTTTCTGAAAAGCACAGCACGTTCCAGGGTTGCAGTCGTGTTGGTTCTCACAAATGGTGCCGTTCTCTCCTTTTGAAGTGGCTTTCCTGCACTCGCCCCAAACGCAGAGCTGCTCGCCACAGCATTCGACATCCCGTGAGCAACGCTTGCAAAGGGAAAACACACGTGACAAGGCTGTTGCTCTAGCACTAATTACATATATCAATAGACAGCTAGACATAGAATTAGACCCTGCTCCTAAAGACAACTGCATAGATGTGCTTTAAATACAGGCATGTCATATGCTCACTGTTTAAGCAGAACTGTTAGGATCTCCGTTTCAAGCATACACAGAACTGTTTGCCAGACAGGAACCTCTGCAGCAGCGTAACAGCTCCTTCTGTACCATTAGACTTTCAGTCTTACCGAACCTGAATTCTTATTTTAGCATTTATACGAAAATTTATCATCAGACATCCTACAGTGTGATATGGATTTCAAGACAGCCTTTCGCAATCAAGGAAAAAAAAAAAGAAACATTATCAATGGAAAACATGACTGATTTTACCCCATTGTTAGATGCAGTCAGGAATTTACAATTCGTTCCAAAGGACTGCTTTCGAAGAACAAAGCAAAAAAATCTTACTCAAATCTGTTTTTCAGTTGTAGTAAGAACTAGACTTCATTTGTAACCAAGAATCTTAAAAAAAAAATTCTTTTAAAAAAATTGTCCTTGTAGATAAGAAATGCAAATCTCTAGCTAAAGATAGCTTTGTGTTACAATTGTCCCGGAGTTTCAACTACACACACCTAATAAATCAACCTAATAAAAGTGGTGTGTCACTTTGTTTCTTTTTTTAGGTAGTTTGATTAACATCCTAGAGAGTCCTAGCAGGTCAGCATTTTAACACCTTTTTTCTGTCTGTGTAAAGCCCTATCTGGGCAGCCGTACAAAATCACAATTTCTTTTCTAGTGGATCCCACAGGAAGTGCTTAACATGGGGCAAGAAGTAGGACTACGCTAGCACTATTAAGACCTGTTAATTAAAAAGAAAAATGTTTTGTAATTGCAGGGGTTCTTTCTAGGTCAGGGAATTGATCCCACCACCTTCAGTCTGAGCTCACTTTACAACAGGAGTGGAGCTAGGACCCAATTTTTACTTTCTTTGTCCTACAAATGTTCTGCTGAGGAGTGCAAAGAAAAGAGGCGGGGGCTGTTAGGTCATTGTAATCTTGATTTTTAATTATTCCATGTTAACATGAAAAATTATCAGTTTAATATTTTCTAAAATATGAAGAATAAGCTTTCTTAATGATGCTTGAGTATATATCCAGGACTTGCATTTATTTATACCAGCATTCAACCTGCTGTAGTCAACAGAGCTCCCTGAAGTTATCTTGATAAGTATTTAAATCATTTCAGGAACAGCCTGTTGCTTTTAGATTATAATAATCCTATTGATTACATGACTTTACAACAAGGTGTGCTTGCTTGTACACTTAACTGTCTGCAAGTACTTTGAGGAATGAATTTGTTTCGCAAGAGGCCATTGGCAGAACTTAGATGAAAAGGGACAGTCAGATAAAAGGCTTTTTCGACAGACTGCCTGAACCTCTCAGGGAGGGACCTGTCACCTGCAGGAGATAATCTAACCATAGCTGCTACCAAGAACATTTGTCTTTTAGCTCAAAAGACAAGAATTTACTGCTTCCTGAGGTTCACAGATTGAAATAATGTAAATGATCCATGTATGAGGATCGTTAGCAACGTCACTACAGCGCTGTACAAGTTGTCAGTGAGGGGAAGAGCTCAGGCTGCTGCGATTTTCCTTGTGAATCAAGAGCTGGAAATGACCAACTCTTCGCTGAGCCTTAGGAGCTGGCACAGTATTTTCTCTTTTCCCAGTCCACTGGCAACCTACAATGTGTTGGTTTACGCTGTCCTTGGGCCACCTAACAAGTCAAGCCTGAGTCAGGAGGAGCGGAGTGCAGGTTTTAAAGCACATGAAAACAGAAACCTTAAAACTTGGCTGTGTTAATAGGAAGAAAAAAAAAAAACCCTGAACCCAAAACATTCTACACAGCCATTTTTGAACCTCATGCGGAAAGCTTTGCATCCTGTTTTCCATCAGTTTTGACTTGCTAACATTAACAAAAATAATTTCTGTATTGAGTTTGTAAAGACAACATAAAATCACATCTCATTCAGGACTTACTGCATGCTGGGTTTTACAGAGCTGACACGTGTACTCAAAGCTGGAGAACTGGCAGTATTTCCCTGTCTCACAGTCTTCATCAATGATACACTCCTGAAGAAAAGGATAAAAGTTTAATTTGCCACTGTGTGACAGAAATCCATACCTCTTCTTGAAATACCAGAAGGTCTTGATTGATTATATTTCTGACTTGTGATTACTGCATGCTGGGTTTTACAGAGCTGACACGTGTACTCAAAGCTGGAGAACTGGCAGTATTTCCCTGTCTCACAGTCTTCATCAATGATACACTCCTGAAGAAAAGGATAAAAGTTTAATTTGCCACTGTGTGACAGAAATCCATACCTCTTCTTGAAATACCAGAAGGTCTTGATTGATTATATTTCTGACTTGTGAACCAAAAAAAAAAAAAAAAAAGCTCACTTCGGTTCTTTGTACAGCCACAATTCTGTAATAGAACAATGCTGTCTCCCTGGCATACTGAAATGTTGTGGCCTCCGAGTGTGCAGTGGCTTCACTTCTTGTATAAATATGAATACCAGCAACCTCAAGAAAATAAATTATCTTGTTCTGCAGGCTTTTTAGTTGGGGTTTGGGATTTTTTTTGGGGGGGAGGGAGTGTGCACTGAAGACATTTGTATTAAAACTTTTCTACTTATATTAGAGAACAGTTGTGATTCATTACTTGTTGGCTGTTTTTTCAGATGGGGGACAAGGCTGAAGGAAAGAGGCTACACTAGAGCAGCTGCAGCAGCTAAGAGGATCTGTGTGCTCTGTGGGAGACCATTCTGCAACAGCTTTCTTGATCCCAGGCCAGGTAGCTTTATGCTGTCCTCCTGCCTCTTCCCCAGCAACATCTTCACTGGTGGCCAGGATTCTAGTCT